ATGAGGAATCATATCTACCACTAACTAAAATGTTCCTTTTAATATGCTCAAGGATTTATAAAATATTCTAGGGCCCTTGGCACTATGTCAATACAGAGTGTTACTCCTATTATTAATGAGTAATAGTATCGCGACATAGCACATTTAAATCTGATGCTCTGTGCATTAGTGAAATGACTTCATTTCTAAGTAAGGTGATCTCCTACCAGCTACCACAGAATAAAGTAATGGGGTCTGGGGTATCAGGATGTAGAAAAATTTTGAAACCCTGATTCCAGCTTGAGTTGTGCTAATAAGGAAAATGCCTACTAAATCACAAGAAATGGAAATGGAGTAGAGGAGAAATCTTAGTACGAAAACACGGGGTCAGGAGAAACACATGGGTAACAATCCCTGGGTGAAAAGAAGCATTCAAACCTTTAGCCATATTGTTTTTCATCTCCTGATATAAATTCAGGGCTATATGGCTGTTCGACAGCTGTCCAGCTCTATCCCAAGGCAGGTAAAACTGCCCCTGGGCAGAGTGTGCATTAAACCAAATCAACAAACTCCTCAACAAACTCCATGCCTGCCTCCCACGGGAGACTGTAGACGCCAGAGGGGCTCTGGTTTAGTGTGCCATAGGAGGGCTGTGCAGAAAGCGAGTCTGGTCAAGGCTCTGGAAAGCCCTGTGGAGTCTGTGGGGAACAATAAGAATGCAGAATATAAATGCAAGCTGCAGGCTGATGGGCCCATTAGGAATTAGGGCAGTCTGTGAAAGGAATCTGCGAAGATGATGCAAAACACCAAGCATGTGACCCAAATCATGTCAGGGCACATTGGAGGGAGAGAAGAATGGGAATGAGACATTTTCTAATCTGATTAGTCTGAAGTTTCCCCTGAGTGTAGAGAAGGGTCATTGCACAATTAGAGGCAAAGTTAGACTGAACATGGTCTACTTAGTGACTCAGAGGGATGACTTCTTCGAAGCTAAGCTGGTCTAAGTGGCAGATGTGTTCTGAGACTGGGACAACTTTGAAGCATGTTGTGGAATAGTCTTTCTGCCTTTAATTTCAAATTGTAAAGGCAAAGACAAAACACTCTGCTGAGAGAATGAGAGGGTGATGACTTGGTGGCCCCAATATTGGATAAGAAACATCTAGATCCTCCAGAGCTCAGGCTCCCACATTCTGGACCTTCTAGGATAACTCATCCTCAAAGCCATCAAGAGATAATCGAATAAACATCCTCAGCTTCCTGACTAAAAGACAGCTTAATATATGAAAGGCATTCAGGTCCAACTGTTACAAATAAGACTTCCTCTATTTAGAAGGACGCAGGTTTCTTCCAGTTCATTTCTTAGTCAGAGCGTGTGTCTTGACTTAAACTTCTTTCCTAGTCCCCAATCAGTCCTTAGTACCAGCTGCTGTGCTGGGCACTTTATGTTATCTCAATTCATCCTCAGAACCACTAGGAAGCATGTATTGTTATCTCATTCTAGAGGTAAGGAATCTGGGCTTCAGGCAGGTAAAAAATCTTGTACACAATCAAACAGCTAGTAAAAGTAGATTCAAAGAATATAAGAGACAAGGTAGGGGTAAAATTGTCAAGATGTAACAACATACTCTTTGTTTATAGGCAGTAAATAAAACAGGTTAGAAGTAGGTCTCTGCATCTGAATAGATCAAACATCAAGTCACAAATCTTGATTACAAGGTGAGGGACAAAAAGAGAAACATAGTGTTGTAAGAATCCTTAGGAGGAGATAATCACTGTCAGCCAAGCATATCCAAGAAAGCTTCTTGAAATGTGGTGCTACTTGAAATGAGTATTAAAGGAAAAGCAAGCTTTCAGCAAATGAAGAAAATTGGAAGCTATTTTCTATTGAAAAAATAGTAAGAGAAAAGGTAAAAAAAGTGGAAATGCAGGAGGTATCCATGTGAAATGTAAACTGGCCCATTTGGCTAGACTATTGGGAATGAGGAGAGCTTTGGGAATGCGGTAACTTTGAAGAACCCTGACTCCTAGGTCTGCATACTTTATCTCAGGTCCTTTACACCAGGATAACCTAGGTATCCCTCACAATGCTGCAAATAAAAGCAAATAGAGCTCACAGTCTAGAAAGTAACCCTCACATCAATCCAATGCACATATACATGCAACTGAATTGGCCCTCTTCTTGATTCACCTCCTGACACCTTGATCCTAAGTTCTCCCACATGTGATTTAGTTTTATATGTCCCTTTGCTTTCTCCTTTTGTCTCATGTGAAGACTCCCTATTCTAGCCCCTGATTGAGAATACTGCTCCAACTGACAACTCTAAGCTCCACGATGGAGAAGGGAGAGAAGTAATTCAAAGCTAAGGAGTTTTTGTCTTTCTTTAGCGAGCACGGAGATGGTACAGAAGGTTTGTGAGGAGAACAGTGACACTACGACATTTGTGCTCTTAAGAGGTATTTAAATTTTGTATATAAAGATGGATTTTAAAATTTAGAGACTAGTGAAAGAAAGAACATGGAGGCCCTGAAATAATCAAGAAGAAATGTGGGTCAGAATAAGAGTGAAAATAGTGGAAATGGAGAAGAGAGAGTGGGGATGCAAGCAATAGAAAGGAGGTAGAACTATCAAGATATTCCAATCTACTGTCTATTTGGACAATAATTCAAAATGGTGGGGTGTGCATTTGAGAGGATTAGGGGTTAAGTCGCAGCTCTTCTTCTGCTAGACTATATGACTTGCAGCAAAATACCTCATCTCTCTAAATTTCAGCGTCCTTATGCAAAATAGGAAGATAATAGTTCTCACCTTACCAAGTTGTTCTCACAAAGTAACTGAGATAATGTATTCAAAGTAAAGATAACAATGGCTAGCACACAGCCCAAAATGTCATAATTATCAAGATAAGTATGTGAGGGGAGGGGCTGGAGTAATGCTGTAGGAAGCATAAAACATGACCAGAGCCTGGGTGGTTAGGAGGGTGGTGCCGGGAAGTCAAAAGTCAGGTTCAACAGGAGAAGTGCTATGTTTTAGAAAGCAGGAAACCATGCTTTCCTTTTGCGACATCATAATCTCTATGTTTTACATCTGGTGCTCTAGCAAGATAGAGTCCTGTACTAATAACACTAGGTCCTACTACGGCATGCCTTTAGCCATCAGGAACTACTGCTTCAGAAAATCTGTCCTTAATTTTACATCTAATGTCCTCATAGCCAGTGAAGTTGTATATTTTCATTTTATTCCAGGAATCTGTATCTATGCAATTGTGTCTTAATGTTAAAAAGATAAAATGTTATAGAGTCATAAAAGAAAGGGTTTTCATTTTAAGGGATATATATATCCTCTATAATCCTTTGTAATGATTGATTGAAAAATGTTCCTTTAAGAATGTTATATAACATGGGTTGGTTTATGTAGTTCCCAAATTAGAGAATTTATGTGCAAAAAATTCTCTAAACCGAATCCTATTTTTAAAGCTTTCAAGTAAGCACTTTTTGTAAAGCTAAAAAATTCATAAAATCCAAAATCATAACTTTTTCTTTTGTAACAGTTAAATAAAGGTGTGTCATCAATAATATAATGAAAATAGTCAAGGGTAAATCAAAGGTAATTTAAGGTAAATGTAAAACCAGGAAGTCCCGCAAACAAAAATATGCAGGACAATTCCCATGAAAGGTACAGATTTCACTTACTTGGACAGTAAGGATCCTAGAAGATCATCAGTCAAAGGTAACCTGGAGGACTTGCACAGCCTTTTGATGTCTTTGCTGGGTAATACTTTTTTTCTGGATTAAAACAAAATAAATGAGCTTTTATATATTTGGGGTCTCTCAAGTAATAATTGCAAAATAGGAAAGAAAATACATAGTGTTCAAAAATGCGTACATGGAAATAAGCATGAAAATTGGTATTGGAATTCACAGTAAAGAAAAAGTCACATTGTATTTCATCAACTTTTGCATTTCAGAAGTCACCAGATTCTGTTCTTACAAAGGCTTTTCCATCAAGATTCAGATTCTTGGTTGGTGATAGTACGGCCTATTAAGGCTGCAGCCATGAGTGTCGCTCTAAGCAATCAATCTGCATTCTTGACCACTTAGTCAAAAATGGTTCTGATATTTGAAAACATCTCTTATTTTGACAGGCATCTAGAGCCTCTGACACAAGTATTATATGACTTGAGAGTATTTTTCTAGTCTTTTCCTTGGACCCGAACCTTACAACCTAGAAGTCCCAACTGGGGCTTTAACATTCACCTCACTTTTGTCAGATGGTTTCTTCAGAGCAGCCCAATAGCAATTTTTCCCAGCCTGCTGGGGACACAGAAATGCTTGCTCAATGTTCTAACTCAGCCAATGTTCTTTCAGGCAACAGGCAAAATTAGAACCAACAGGAAAGAAAGTGGGCTTCTTTCTTTGCAATGAAGTTATAAAATGATGGGAGAATATTTATGTCTAGAATTAAAGCTTATAAGATCTAGAAGAACCTCAGAGCTGTCTGAGCAGGCAGCCCCATTATTCCCAAGAGGTATTCCTTTAGTGAAGGAGGGCTGCAGTTTTCACCCTGGAGAAGGGTTACCACCAGGGTAGAAGGAAGGGCCAGGATCAAGCAAAGCTTAGGTTACACATCCTCCGGGAGGCTCAGGTAAGCTTAAAGATACAAGAGAAAATACCATCTTTATAAAAACTCATGAGGATATATATGGATTAGGAAAAAAATCATGTTCACTATTAAGATAAACTATAAGACCTTCAAAGATATTTAGGGTATGAAGCTGGCCACTTGGGTACAGACTTCAAGTTTGGGGATAAGGGAAAGGGTCATGCAGAAGAGAGATAGCAGTGTTGTGTAGTAACAAAATTAGAAGCTAGAGTTAGAACTAAGATTATCTAACTCCAGATGAGTACTCCCCACCCACCCTCACTATCAGGTCTGTGAGTAAAATGAACACCAAAACATTAAGATGGGCTCCAGTTGTTTATAATGGTGACTTAATAAAGCTCAGTACGAACATGATAAATGTACTAGAAATAGATTATGCTAAGCTTCATTACTTTCAAGAAATAATTTTAAAGAAATTCTATGGAAAGTTTACTTGCTAATTCCCTGTACTGTATATTATAAAAGTCACATTTATAAATCCCAAACATCACTAAAATAATTTAAGAAGACATCTCATAATTAAACCTTCTAACATCTTAATTCATTATGTTTAAGTTGAAATCTTCTAGAAACCAATTAAAAGAAAATGGCAAGGGGTATCCTATTCTTTTGAAGATACAGGGCTTTCCCTTATTCCATCAACAAACAAAGCTTACCATTACTATGAAATATTTTTACCCAGATACTCTCAAAAATGATTTAAGGTGGCTTTGCTAAACAGTGTAGTATGATGAGACAATGTCAATTTTATTTTTGCCTTTTTTGATTAAATATAAATTCTTTCATTACTCAGGTTCACAGAAACTTAAATGATTTATTAGAATCAATAAAATGAAAGCGTACTTTTCTCGATCTTGATACACACAGCTATAAATGAGTCTTTCAAAATTCTCAAAAAAATTTTTCTTAAGCTGTTCGTGGGCCATTGCAATTAGGGTATTAGTATCTGGACATGGGTCCTCAGGCACCCCATAGTGACGGGCAATGGTTACGAGTTCTTGTTCTATCAGTTTCCCAACAGTTATAGTCATCACTATGTCTCTGTAAAGAAAAGGGAAAAACTCTCATGAAATTATATCTAAGAATATTTTACTTCTCTTTCTACTAAAAATACCCAAAATCCCATTTTATAAAAAAAATCCAAAATTCCATTAGCATAGAAGATGTATAATTTTTAATTTCTCTACTTATGAGCAACAGGAAGACACCAGTGCTAGAGTGGAAAACCATAAGTAATATAGCTTATAAATAAAATGGCATTTTGCCCAGAGTCAAACTTCTACCAGATAACAGCCTGCAATCAGGAAGTAAATTTTTTTAAGTCCTTGAATGGTCAAAAAACCTATCACTAAATATATGATTTCATTCAATGCCTATTAATCTTATTTTACACAAAATAGTAACAGACTTAGGGTTCTGGTTTCCCAGGGTATAAAATTTATAACTCAGTAAATTAGAAAGATATTTTGGAGATGGGAAAAGCAATTATGCACATTTCTGTAGTAAAAACTGACACACCCTGCCAATGAGAAAAAAAATGAAAAAGTGAAAAGTGAAAAGAGCTGTGTAAGGGTACAGTTGTCTGAGTCTTTAGAAGGCAAATGACATTGAGATTATTTGGCAGACATAAAAAAAATAACAACAATAACATATTAATGATAAGAATTCAAAGCCTAACAAATTGCCTGAATTGTTTTTTTCTCTATATGAAAGTTATAAACCATGCAGCATGCATTAGAAATCATTATATCAAAATAGTTAAAATACAAACTGTTAGAGCAGTTAAATGAATAAGCTTCCACCATCTAGAAAATTTATTTACTGGAAATAATTCAGTTCCTGAAAATCATGAATAAAAGAGGGAATACAAGTCTTTATTTTTCTCTTCTGCTATAGACTGGTCTTTCAGAATAATGGCTTTTAGTTCTTTTATATATTTCTTGTCATTACCACTATCATTTAATAATTCTAAGTTCTCCTAGTCAAGAATTTCCTTAAGAGTGTAGGAAAGTTCACAACTATGATGTTGACCTATCTGAAGGAACTGCGTTTCACCTACATCCACTTCTCGGGGTTTCTGGAGTTTTCGTTGTGTTTTGCTTTGCTTTGCCTTTTTAAATGGGAAATGAAGGTCAAATTCAACCAGGAAGATCCCACAACTGCAGCAAGGCAGTTTAGGTCAGATAACCAATTAGTCATATTGGCCGGAGGCTCATGGTGTGGAAAACACTCTAAAGTCACTTTGGCATGTGAACTTTTCAGTCTACAATCTATTTGAGCTGTCCAAGCATACATATGAGTTCTCAAAACCACAAACTGAGAGGGCCACTTGAATAAACTGAGTAATAATAAGAAACCATGCCATTCGTTGAGTACTACCTATGTGCCAGTCCTCTGCTGCCAGGTACTTTTGGCATGGATCATCTTATTTAGCCTAGAAGGTAGGTACTATTATCTCCATTTTATTTGTTTATTTATTTTATTGGTTCATGTTACTATCTATCTATCTATCTATCTATCTATCTATCTATCTATCTATCTATTTATTTATTTATTATGGTGGCATTGGTTAACAAAATCCAATAAGTTTTAGCCGTAAACTTTAACAGTAAGGCATATATATGTTTATACTGTGTTCACCTCCCATAGTTAGATTTCTTTCTGTCACCACATATTTGTCCCCTTTACCCCGTCTACCTCTCCCCTCCCCCGTTCTCCCTCCTCTCTGGTAACCACTAGTCTATTGTCCATGTCCATGAGTTTCTGTTTGTTTGTCCCATTCGTTTGTTGCTTTTAGGTTTATATCCCACATAAAAGTGATATCATGTGGTTTTCAGGCTGAGTAATATTCCATTGTATGTATGTACCACTGATTCTTTATCCAATCATCTATCGTAGGACACTTAGGTTGCTTCCATGTCCTGGCCACCGTGAATAATGCTGCTATGAACATTGGTGTGCAAATATCTTTATGGATATGAGTTTTCAAGTCTTTGGGGTAAATACCCAGTAGAGGGATTGCTGGATCATATGGTAGATCAATTCTTAGTTTTTTGAGGAACCTCCATAATGTTTTCCATAGTGGCTGTACCAATTCGCAGTCCCACAAGCATGAGGGTTCTTTTTTCTCCACATCCTCTCTGGCATTTGTTATTACTTGTTCTGTTGATTATAGCTATTCTAACAGGTGTGAGATGGTATCTCATTGTGGTTTTGATTTGCATTTCCCTAATAGCTAGCGATATTGAGCATCTTTTCAAATATTTGTTGGCCATTTGTATGTCCTCTAGGGAGAAGTTTCTGTTCAGGTCCTCTGCCCATTTTTTGATTGGACCATTTGTTTTTTTGTTGTTATTGAGTTGTATGAGTTCTTTGTATATTTTGAATATTGTCCCCATTTTACAGTTGAGAATACTGAGGCCCAGAAATATTAAGGCATATGACCAATGTCATGAAAGCTTATGCTCCTGCATTCTATAGTGTCCCTCTTCTGTTGGAACACAGAAGAGAGTGACTGGATGGAGTGGGGCTCAGTCAGGGAAAATTTCCTAAAGGTAGTAGGTTCGGAGCTGATTTTATACAGACCTCTAATTCCCTTTACTGTCCTTGACCTCTGTTTTGTGGGCTATGACTAACCAGTGTAAATAAGAGAGAATAAATTCAGAAACCCTGAGTCGCCAACCATCTCTGACAGAAGACTAAGTGACCACAGAGAAACGACTCCAAGGAGAGCTCCCAGCTCATTTAGAACACTGGTCATGGAATAATCGATCATGACACATGCATAAAAGGGAACACTATACAACCATGAAAAGTGTTCAGTTGATCTGTATTTATTAGTGCAAAAGATGTCCGTGCTATGTTGATGAATGCAGTATGATTCCAGCGAAACTAAAGATACCACTATATGTATATTCATAGAAAAAAAGACTGGAAGGATACATGCCAAAATATCTATAGCTTTATCCCTGATTGTTGAGATTTCTATATGTATATAAAATATCTACTTTAAAAAAAAATGTAATAGTCAAACATTACTTTCATCATCAAAGGAAAAAAAACACTTAAAAGCTTTTGCCTTTTGAGGGTAGAAAATGGTGTGAAGAAGAACAAATGGCATGAGCCCAAGGAACAGGGAAAAGAATGTGTGTGGCAATAACTAGAAACTTTCCATGCACCTTTAAACTTCTTTTAGCACTACCAGGTCATAAAAGTTTGTTTTCCTTTTCATTGGATAAAATGAAATTATCCTGGCCTCATTGCAATTAAAATTTATATCTGCTGGGTTTCTGTATGCTTGGGTTTTAAATAGCTCAGTATTCTATGGCTTTATGCGAGAGTTTCAAACAAGCTGCCTCAGACTTTAAACTGTCCTCAGTCATGCAGGACATCAGGGGCCCCAGAGCAGCTGCCGGTGTGGCCTCTGCGCCCAAGCAAGGCAGGTCCTGGCACTGGGGATCACAAGAGGAAATGTAAGCCTATTATTGTTAATATTCAAGTGGCTGCCACTACTTTCCCCCGTGTTTGCCATGTGCCCCTTCTTTAGGACTCACTCTACCCTGTTAACTTTTAATGGACTTCACCATGAATTAGGAATCCTTTCAAAAGGAGCACACTCCATTATTTTATTGTGGCAAAATACACATGAAATTTACCATTAGTGACATTTAGTACATACACAATGTTGTGCAATCACTACCTCTATCTAATTCCACAACATTTCAGCACTCCAAAGAAGCAGCCACTTCATCTTACTCCTTCCCCCAGCCCGCTCCCCACCTGGCAACCAGTAATCTATTTTCTATCTCTGAAGATTTGCCAATTCTAGATATTTCATATAAATGGAATCATACAGTATGGTCTTTTGTGTCTGGCTTCTCTTGCTTAGCATAGTATTTTCATGATCATCCATGTTGTAACATGTATCAGTACCTGATTCCTTTTTATAGCTGAATAATATTCCACGGTATGAATATACCACATTTTGCTTATCTATTCACACATCAATAGACATTTGGGTTGTTTCCTCATTTTGGCTATTGTGAATAGTGCTGCTATGAACATTCAAGTACAAGTTTTTGTTTGAACACCTATTTTTAATTCTTTGGGTATATATACCCAGGAATGGAATTGCTGAGCCATATAGTAATTCTATGTTTAATTCTATGTTTAACTCACCAACTTGTTTTCTACATATTCCATTTTTGCTTAGCAGCAGCCACAGAAATAAAGCCAACTTCAATCAAACATAGCCCTTCCTCACCTAAACCTTCAAAGTGAATCTGAAATAAGGTCTAAGAGCAAAGTCTGATCTCAGTACTTCCTGATGAATCATTCAAGGGAAATAAATAAAATTACAGCAGCTTTTAAAAATGCATTTGTATCTGGTGTTCTGTGATTACTGTTGTTAATCTCAAAGATTCAAATGGCAAGCCACATTTGCCTTTACCCAACATTGCACTATGTTCCTGGCACTAAAGTTTTATATAGATTATATGATATTATTTAGCTAATCTTATAAGAGACACTACCATGATTTCCCTGTTTTTTGTAATTAAAGTCATAATACTCCAAAACACAATGCCAACTGCTTTAGGATACTGAGGTAACTGCAGAATTCTAAAATATGAAATGCATTAAACAGTTTTACAAAACATAATTCCATTAAAGTCACCCACTGAAGCAATGGTAAATCAAAACTTCATTTTAAAGTTCTGAATCTTAGGGAACTTTCTTACATACAAACTGAAAAAATTTAGTTTCAATGTAAACAAGGGCTCAAGAGTATAAGCCTTGGGATCTAAGGCTTAGAAGAAAATCTGCTTGAACCTAAATTAAACCAAGTCATAATTTTCATGACAATTAGATAGTGCCCTTTATCATTTCTTTCAATTTTATATTCATCAAATAAAATGTGTTTCACTTCCTCTAATCAGTAGCCAGGCACCCCTGTTCACATCCTATATACTCCCTCTCAGGCTTACTCTTATGCTTGTTGGCCTAAGCTGCCCATACAGAGAAGAAAACCCTGCCTTACCATC